GATTGCAAGAGTATTTCTTGCATTTAATGAGCCGGATACGAAATAATGATCAAGTTTGGGTATAGAACTGGGAATTGGGAATTGGGATAGAATTAGGGTTATGGTCGAAAAAGCGCTAGCCAGTATAGGGACTTATATGTTTAGAAAGACGAGCTTTTTCTCGGCTCTTTATGGCTAAAGATAATAACGGCCTCGCTAGCGCTCTCTATAATTATTTTTACGGAAAATTACTCTCATATCCCCCAAAAGTGATTTAATTACTCTCGTGCCCCTTAGATTCTATATAGAATCTACCCTATTTCATTAATGTATATATATATATATACATTCAAAGGAAAAGAAGTAATATACCTGTAGAATCTAGTCTAAAAAGGCTAGAACCTATTCTTCTACTATGGAATCTATCCTCCTCCTATTATAAAATCCAAGGGGCATAAGAGTAAAACAAGTGAGTTTTAAGGTATGAGAGTAATTTTTCGAAGTCAATTATCTCTCGGTTATAAAATCTGTTTTAAATTATAGGTACGTATTGAGAATGAAGTGGCGTGGCGTAGGATCTCTTATAATGCGAATGGTAGCGACGAATCTGAGCATTGAACGGGAATGATGGATCTGAGATGAGAATCTAGTGATTCTATTTGTATATTCTGTTTATCGTAGTAAGATTACAATCTATATACTTACTTCTACGGTGCATGTAGTTCGATCTATCATGTCTACACAGATCTCTCGTCTAAACTACCAAGTACATACCTATGTATCAATATACAAACTCCATTCTAACACAACTCTCATTCCACAAACAGACTAGCCAACGCACTAGCCAACGCACTAGTCAATAAACAACCCACTAAACACCCTCCTCCATCCCCTCTTCCCATACCTCATTCCCAACCCCCAAGCCATTCCCCACCTCCAATCGATCCTCTCCCTTGATATCTCTCTCCTCAGGACTATCCCACCCCGTCGCCGCCTGCACGCCCACCATCAAAAACGCACACACCGCGGCTCCCAACCACAAAACCCGGAATCCCTCTCCATAAGCCCGCACCACCACTTCCCGCTCCACACCCTCCAATTGACCCACGAGAGCCGGACTGCCTAGTAACTTCCTCACCAGCTCTTCTCTTCCTTCCAGTCCCCCATTGCGTGCAAACCCTTCGCGTAATTGGGATTGCAGGACTCGGATGAATGCACCGCCGCCGATGGCAGAGCCGAAGGAGCCGGCGAAGCCCCGGAAGGTGGTGAGGAGAGAGGTGGAGATGAAGTGGGTGGAGGGGGGCGTGAGATGGAGAAGGTGCGCGAGAGTGTAGTTTAGGGCGGAGCCGATGGTGAGGCCGTTGAGGAGTGCGAGGAGGAGATAGAGAGGGGTGGGGATGGTGGGGGTGGAGAGGAAGGAAAAGAAGAGGAGGCTGGTGGAGAAGAGGAGGAGGGTGAGGATGGAGGGTCTGGCGGTGGGAGGTTAGAATTTTGATTTTGATTTTTCGGTTTCTTTTTTGTATAGAGGAACGATGGGAAACTTACAGCCAGAAACTCCCTGCGCGATTGATATGGAATGCGCCGGCTGCGATTCCGCCCAGGGCAAACCCCAGATTGGTAGGGATGAGGATGGAGCCTGCAGAAGCGGGCGACCAGCCGCGGATCGAAATTGCGTAGACGGGCGTGTAGAATAGGATTGTCCATCGCGCAGCCATAGTTCCCAGCTGAGAAATGCAGGAGAGGAGGGCGCCGCGCGATTTCAAAACGGAAATGGGTATGATGGGGTCGGTGGCAATTTTGAGCTCGATGTAGAGAAATAGGATGAGGGTGAGGAGAGAGCAGAGGATGGGTAGCCATTCGATTTGTGGTGAGGAGAGACCGTAGAGGAAGAGAATTATGGTTGTTACCTGGAGGGTTGAGTATGAGTTCTAATCCCATGCTCATAGGTATAATGAGGTGAGGAGGACTTGGTACTTACGAGAAAAAGCGATCCGAGATAATCAATCTTGGCAAGTTTGGAAGTAATCGATGCACCATCAATACTCTTCTGTCCAGAAGTAAAAGTCTTTGGGATACTGAAATAAATTCCAATTCCCGAAAGGATAGCAAGAGGTGACTGGAACAGGAATAGAGCTCTCCAGCCTACAGCGGGCAATAAAGCTCCCCAGACAACTGCACCGAGGGATACACCTACGGTGAATCCGGAATTTGCAAGTCCGATGAAGATACCTCTTCGCTTTTTGGTGGTGAGTTCTAAGATCAAGATGAAACTAATCGTCATGATACCCGCACCACCGATCCCACTTATGGCTCTTCCGATGAGGAAGGTCTTGAGATCTGGAGCTTGTGAGGTGGCGATGCCCCCGATTGAAAAGAGAAGTGCAGCGGCTAAGATGCAGTTTCTCGGAGAGAAAATCTGCGCCAGACGAGCGGCCACGGGTGACATGGACGATAGGGCGATCTGAAGGCTAGATGTAAGGGCGTGATCGTTTGATGATGGGAAGGACGACTTACGAGGTAGGTGGATGTAAACCAACTTGCTTCGGCAAATGAATTGAGATCTTCTGCTATTTTGGATTGTGTGGTTGATATTCCGGACATGTTTGAGGCTGTGGGTATAATTGTGTTAGTAAATTAAGTTCAGTCCGAGAGAGAGAGACAGAGAGATTATTCATCTCCTATCAAAAAATCCCAGAGCTACAGGAGAGCAATTCACCTTGGAGAAATACCAAGCCAAACACACTGATACTGATCAATATAGCTCTCAACTTCCCAACCTGTTGATTTGCTTTATCCTCGTTCTCTTCTTCATCATTGCTGATAGCATCGTCTCCCCCACTTTGCCCGCCTGTCAATGTATCTTCATCCCCATCAACCCGATCACTTCTCTCTCTATGCCCGAGCAATGAAGTTCGCTCATCACTTATCCCATTCCCGTGGCGTTTTCCCGCAATTCCATTTCCTCCCATCTCGTCGTTCCCTTATCTGTTTATGTTACCTTCAAGCGGAGATCCGGCGGATGGTGTTTTTGATGAGTCAGCTCGCCACCACCTTGATTTCGTATGGTAATTCTACTTTCAACGACAACGATAAATCGTAACCTCTTTGTCTTGGAGCTATTCACGTTTTGACACTTGCGTCGATGAAAGTTCATACACTCTCATTGATATCAGAAAAATCGCGAATATTCAGGGAAAATGAGGAATGGGAAGTATATCAAGGTGATTGGTAAGATTGTATACCGTTCCCGGCAGCCGAGACCCGCAATCGGTCAGGGGCTCTCGAGAGGGACGGATATTTCTAAGCCGGAATTTTGTACTTTCCATGTCCGTTCTACTATCAACAAGGTCTATATCATCAATACATCGTATATCGTATATGATCTATAGATGAACGGGAGTATCAAGAGACTAGTGGTACTCGAGATGGATCAATGAAGCTTCATCGCTGTTACTTTCTGAAGGTAAGATTTTATATAAGGTAGGGAACGCGTCCTTTCTTTCCTTATGATAAGGTTATTAGCCAATCCCTTTTTTCCACGGCATCCTTATATCACGACTTCCTCGAAGATATCATCTAAGAGCATTCAGAACTTTGATTTATTTGCTACTATCTCTTTCAAGTCTTGATAGCTAGTGCTGTAATAGATTTTTTCCGTTTCCCTTTTTACCATCAGAATACTTAGAGCCGTGGGTGTGCAAAGTAAAGTTACTTTCTCGATACTACATACGGTATCTTCTACTTCCAAAGCTATAGCTTCCATTCATCAAAGATACTACGCACTGCTATGATATCGCATCAGTTTCACACCAATACTGCCTACCCGAATATGTCTCAAGTAAGGTCAAAGTATATGTATATACCTATGTCTTACAAATGCGATAAAGAAGCTACAGGAAGCATTGTAGTGTCTAAGCTGTCCAAGCTACTCGGGAGAAGAACGCACATAACACAGCCCAAGCTTCAAATGTTGATAAAATCGTACCAAGCTTCCTTACACAATTTTCTTAATAGATCATACATAGTCATGGAATCCATCGACAACAAAGAGAAGAATGTAATTGACCTATCCTATCGCAAATGATGATACTCTGGGCTGTAGACCCATCTTATTATTGCACTACTACTATCGATAGGATACCATGAGTTCTTCTCTCAGGTTGAAGATTGTCAACCTAACTCGAAACCTCACAATTTTGCCTTCACATGTACAGATGCATTGGGATGCATTGGGACGAATTGAAATCGAGTTTCTTTCTTCTATGGTATATCCCGAGGTCTCTTTTATTCTTCCAATACAACGATGCATTCGTCTTCGGTAGATGTTCATTCCATTCGAGATCTTTACCATCTCCTTTGTTCTACCCATCCAACGCAATAAGTTCTTTTCCATCCCTTTCCTTTCATTCAATAGAAAAATCATTCGAGAACAACAAGGGTTATACAAAAATCATCAGCAATTGGGAGGAGAGTTTCTCGTGTACACCAATAGTAAAATTTCTACCTTTGTGTGAAAGAACAACTTTTCATTATTCAACTTTATTCTACATAGTGGGGTTACCTAGGTCCGTAAAATAATACTTCTTTATCCTTGAGAACCACTTTCTCTGATTGCCCTTTCCCAATACTCTATATCAAGTGTCATCATCTATCCATACTGTTGTAATCAGGCATATCACTATCAAATCTTCACATCGAAGCCCGCGCGCTGATTTAATTCAAGCCCCTCAATATCTACATACAGGGAAATGCTAAAACAATACACACCCTTTTGAGGAACTACAGACGAAGAGGCGGAGGAGCATCAAGCGAAACGTCCAAAATCTCCAGATATCTTGCTATGCAAGAATTGCGGATTCACTGCCTTTCATGCGTTGCACGGCGGTTACATCAGCACCATTCAATTGGTTTCCCAAAGCCTCTTTGGAGGTCTATGGGCAATTGGTGACAAGTACATATTGAAAGAAAAGACTATTGATAATAGTAGATTCGGTGATCGCTACCAAGGCCCTGAATATCCAATGACTCATTTCTTGGACGAGAACTCGACGATTCCTGTAGCAAAGAATATGAAGCATTGGTCGGATAGTACAAGTAATTTCTTTCTCATGGATAGGGTTCCAGGTGAATCGTTGCTGAAGATGGGGGGACAACTTGTATGGGAAGAGGTATTAGTCATTGCTGACGAAGTCGCGGACTATCTTGTACAACTACGAAAATTTACATCAGATAAACTACAAGCTCCAGATGGTTCGCCGATAAGAGACTCAACTTTCGGTCCTTATTGGTCCTTGTATTTTTGTACGTCTGATGTGGACGAATGGTGGGCTCGAGTGGAACCGAGCATTCAGGATAAATCTCGCAAGGATCGTTTAATGGAACAATATTCCCTTCTTATCAAGCCAGGAGGACCTTTTGTGCTCACGCATGGGGATTTAAACATGCAGAATATTATGGTGAAAGATAAGCATGTGAGCGGAATCATCGACTGGGAGTATGGGGGTTATCTTCCAGAATGGTGGGAATTGAAGATGCTGGAAAACCTTGAAAGTGGGCGATGGGCGGAAGCGCTAAGAGATGCATCAGCAAAGAGAAACGCAGTGCCCTCAGAAGCAGCGAAAACTTTCGGGCACAGTTTCTACCACGCTTTTCAAGACGTAACCCCTGACATTTTTAATGAATCGGCCAAATTTTACGACAAAAGTTTTCATTGGGAATATCCAAGTCTCCCCCATTATAAGGCAGAAGAAGATTTATACAACGTTAAATGGAGTGCAAAACTCCAAAGAGAGGGCATAGAGAAAATGGAAGCGGAAAAGAAGGCGATTGAGGATAGAATAAAGACAGCAAAGGACAGAGCCAAGGTAGCAGAGGGAAAGCTTGCTGAAAATGAGACAATCTTGGCAGAATTCAATAAGCTAGGTGTAGAAGAGAGAGAAAAACTGAAGAGGGGAAAGTAGTCAGAGTCATAATCAACTATTCAATATTGATTATCTATCAATAGTCAAAAGAAAACTCTCATCCCGCAACCAAAACCTTCGTCCTTGCCCCACAGATTCCTCATTTCGCATCTCACCCTCGTCCCTCCAAGTCGCCTCATATCTCCATACCTTCCACCGACCCATGTGGCAACCAAGCGGCATCAGCTCACAAGCGTTGCATAATGTCTCACATCGTCGTTCCAGAGACGTTTCACAACTCGGCTTTCTTAACGGGTCCATACCTCGCCGAGCAGCCAGTATCCTCATGTGCCGCGGGGACACGCACGTACTCCTTGTTCATTATTACCGAAACAAGAGATCCGAAACTCTTGATTTCTACAACCATGCATGGTTTCTCTCTAGCTTTCTCTGCATCCGTCTTGGAAGCGGGTTCCCACAGTTCCACTTTCTCCTCATGTTCTATTCTCACGCTCTTATCAGATTGCTCGGTGATCCTCACACGTGTGATGACCCTATCCGCCGGAATATAGGCTTTGCATTGGTGGCAGGTCTTATGCCCGCTGAAGTTACAATATTCGCAGAAAATGCATTGCATCTTGAATAATTGTTGTTAGGTAACTCGTAGATTGTGAACTGGAATGAAAGTCAGTAGTGATAAAGTGGAGGAACTTTTGAAATGGAGGAGGGAGGGTTAGGAGGACAGGATTACGTACGGAAAAAGGCACCCTATGAAACTATTGGTCGTGGGTTGAGAGAAGATTGATGGTATCGTGTTTGATTGCTGTACCTATGGAGTATTTGTTTTTGATGAACTGTGTATTCCATTTACATTCGTAGGAGCGTATTGGCAAGCTTTATGTATCGTAATTTATCTGCTCATCTGTTTTCAATTACGTTGATGCTTAATCTCTTACATTAACGTCTCGTGAATAGAACTTCTCTGAAGTATGAAGATATGTAGTAGAAAGGTTTCACACAGTCCTTAGAACATGGAAAAAATTATTTCGGGTGTAGATCAAAGAAACAGCTGAAAAGTAAGAGATGGAAGAAGCATTCCTCGTTTCTGACACTCACTTCTCAAGTGACTGTTCATATTCAAGAACCAACTTCATGAAGGTAGAACCAGGCGGCTCCATAGTTCAAGGCAAATTTAAATCCGGCATCGACACCTAAGTATCTCGAGATCTTCATGATTTCCAATATGCTATAGAACTCAACAAGGTAGTCACTCTGTAGAATCGTGTAGTAAAGGATCTCAGGGTTCAATTAGGTATGCGGCCTACGTCCTGAGCTTGAAGTCATCTTGAGATAATGATGATTTTAAGATTATATAAATTGGCAAGCATTATGTATACCTCTGTCCGTTTGCATTTTTTGGGCTATTCGAGTATCCTTTTCTTTTTATCTTTGCAGAGAGATTCATTGCCCTTGGTATTCTCTTCCCTTGCGAATACATTGTTTGGAACATACCGAGTTACTTCGGTCTCCAATCCAACCGAAAAACTTCGATGAAAGTATCATAATGCTGTCGGATCAGTCTAGTCAGTCGTTTCAAGTCAACATCATATGTTAAATTACAAGCAAAATCACCTCACTTCACTTCACTTCAACCACAAGGTTCACATTTTTAGAATCAGTCGATTCTGCTTGGTATGAAAACTCCATGATTCTTATTCTATTCCGGTGAGAATCATTCTATGCGACTGGTAGAAGTCTCATGATATCTAAAAACAAATGAAATAACTACACCCTTTCCCATCGTCTAGAAATAAGACATCCTAAAACTAGTCAACGACATGTGTCGAAGACAAAACTAACTAATCCCAATTCGAGAACCAGTAGAGAAAGTCATAGACTTTATACCATCCACCACAAGTAAGAAACAAACTCCTATCTTTGAAGAACACTGAAGTCATTAACACCCCCCTCACTACTATCACTCGTGAAACAATCCACCAATCCATTGCAAGAACATAATAAATGAGAATTGGAGTAGCCACCCCACAGTGAAAATCTCTCAGATCATTTTGAATGATCTATTCAATCTAAAATCCATGCGTCTCTCGTACAGCTCGATCAAAGGAAGTGAGCGAGCAAGAGTTGAGGTCCGAGGTGTACAGATTGAGTAAACAGCGCTCGTAAACACATGTTATAGCGTGCACCAGTTGGTATTACATAGTAAAATTGTAATCTGAACATGGTAGACGAAGAGAGAGACCATAGACAAATAACACAAGCCAACCAGCCTAGCTTATCTATTGAAAAAGGCAGGCTCAATGTTAGATTTGTGCCTAGCAAGTAAATTCGTTGCATTGACCCTTCCTGGAAATTGATCGTCCATAAGTTGGAAAGCAATATCAGTCTCGACAGAGTCCTGAATAAGTAGATGGTGAACAGTCACAGTGCCACCTAGTTCTTGGCCATGACGAATTGCACGACCCATTGCCTGAGTCATTGAAGAATTGTACTTTTGCTTTTCGGCATAGTAAGGAGTCAAGAAGATGATATGCTTGGCGACAGTTAAATTGGATCCGGCAGCAGACTCATCGGCAATATCGAGGAACAAGACACGAGCGGTAGGATCAGGATTCTCAGCAAAGTCTTCAGGGTCGAACGCCTCCTTGCCAACGCGAGCCCAATCCACAGGAACATCATCTGCAAGAGCATTACGTATACGGACTTCTGGAGCAGCGGCTTCCTTGATGTCTTCGAGCTCGGAAAAATCAAGTGGTGGATACTTAACGGCTTTCTCGTTTTTAGCCATCCATACCTTTATGGCCTTTTTCTTCTGTTTTGCCGATCGAGTGTGATTTGAGACAGGGAACGAGGGCGGAGGAGCATCATAAACTACATTGTCATCGTCAACTAGTTCATGAGCTTGAATAGGATTATCCTGATCTACGTAAATAATAGCGCCAGTCTGATCAACCTCATAAGCTAATCCAGTCGTCATCATGTAATTTTTAGCGGTGAGTCGAGGCTGTGCCATTATAGGACAAGTCGAGCAAGGGGTTCGTGTTGCAATTGGAGGCTGTGTTGGTACAATCGGCACAGGAAGAGTTGAGTGAGGGCTTTGAGTTGCAATTGGCGCAGAAGGACCGGGCTCAGAAGCAATATTAAGCTCAGCTTCCCACTCAGTACGGAAAAAATCAAGATCGGGATTTGTACCGCTCATCATATCTCCATGATCGACTGAAGCACCTTGAGAATCTGAAATAGACGCGGAACCCGAAGAAACTAGATTTTGATTAACTGGATCTAGCGAGGCAACACGGCGAACTTTGAAAACCGGATTCATATGAGTGTCGTCGACAGAACGATTTCTTTTTCTCTTCTGGGGGCCTTGAGAGGCTGGACTGGCCTGAATGATCGTCTCAACATCAGCTGGAGTAGATTTGACTTGAGTAGCATCATGATCGAATGGTGCAATATCAAGAGATTCTGCTTGAACTTCGATAGCTTTACCATTTGTAGCTACAGCTTTCCTCTTTCTCTTTTTGGGGATTTGAGAATTTGGATTAACCCGAATGCTTAGCTCAATAGAAGCTGGTGGCGCATCACCAGGAATAGCATCAACATCAAGTAGTTCTGCATCAGCTTGAATAGCATTAGCATCGACTTGAATAGCATTAGCATCAGCTTGAATAGCGTCAATATCAATTGATGCACTAGCCGCTTCTGCAAGCTTTGCAGCCTTCACAATCTTTGCTTTTGCAGCTCTAGTCTCTGCTGCTTTGATTTGTACAGGTGTTTCGGGCTTGAACTGTTTCTTATCATTCCTGTAACGCATGCCTTGATTTTTCTTGAAGTTTTCAAGATAATCAGCGACATCCTTCTTTTTGCCCTTCAGGTTGATACAAGGAACACCATCAGCTTCCATCATTTCCTGAGCTTTACTCAACATCTCTGGTACGGGACTGAATACAATGAATTTGTTCTTGCCGTCATCGTGCTTCCAATAGATCGCCCGCATAGCTGTCAGCTTGTCGGCTCGAATACTTGGGTTGTTCCAGAATTGAGAAAGCTCGTCAGGTTCAGTTCCTGGTTCTTTGCGCTCGGGAAATTTTCCGGCTGAAGAATACAAGGATATCGCCAAGTACTTTTGATCATCTAGTGACTGCCCACCACAAAGTTGGATTGGACAATTGCCTTCCGATAAGATTTTGTTACATTTCGAGCATAAGATATGGCCACAGTTACCTTGAATAACAGCTTCGTTCAAAGGTGAGCTTTTGTTGCAAAAGTTACAAGTGAGATCCCCCATAGGTGTTATACTACCAACTTGGTCAATCTGCCCCACAGATCTATAGTAGCGATATTCCGCTCTGAGTTGTATAAGGTCCATAGAAGTTTTGTGCAATTCGATGAGTCCCGTTTTAAAATGGGCAATAAGGCCAAGCGTCTTTCGACCGTTGTGTAGAATTTTGTCGATTTGAGAAGGCCAGGCACGGCGACCATAAGCAGGATCAGGAGCTTCATAGTAAAAGTCATCTCTGGTCTTACTAGCCTTTGCCCTTCGAACCCCTTTGATGACCTGGAGGATGTCGAGAAAGGCGTCAGGGTCGGGGTAACGTTTTCCGCTCAAAACTTGGTTTTCCCAGTTTATATATCTAGTCACCCCTTCTTCTTCATGGATGACCATTTCCTCTGTCACCAGATAGTCGAGGAACTCCATCTGTCGGCGCAGATAGTCTTTCGAAATATTGATTTCTTTGAGCACAGCTGCTTTCAAGTCTTTGATAGTCTTAAGTTTATATTTTGGATCCTTTTTAGCATGCTCTGGGAAGAATGATGCGGCTTTGGTCAATCTCAATCTACCGTCTGTATCCTTGCCGTAAACTTTTGAGATTTCCATCTTGACTGAACTTCGGATGGTGTTGGCTTTAGCTCTTGGCATCATGTAACTCATGTTAATAACATCAGCTCTCATAGTGAGGTAAGATGCCAATTGTGCTGTGGCAAATGGCAAAATAATGAACCGGTGAAGACGATTGTATTGGCCATTTCCCTTTTTTGCG